TTTTCAAACTGGGCTGCTGTATTCTTAGGGTAAATTCCTGTAAGTGGAATTCCTGGGTCAATGGTATTTCTATTTTGAGGAACCTCCATATTGCTTTCCACAATGGTTGAACTAATTTACATTCCCACCAGCAGCGTAGGAGGGTTCCCCTTTCTCCAGAACCTCGCCAACATTTGTTGTTGTTTGTCTTTTGGATGGTGGCGATCCTTACTGGTGTGAGGTGATATCTCATTGTGGTTTTAATTTGCATTTCTCTGATGACTAGTGATGTGGAGCATCTTTTCATATGCCTGTTGGCCATCTGAATTTCTTCTTTGGAGAACTGTCTGTTCAGCTCCTCTGCCCATTTTTTAATTGGATTATTTGCTTTTTGTTTGTTGAGGTTCGTGAGCTCTTTATATATTTTGGATGTCAACCCTTTATCAGATCTGTTATTTATGAATATATTCTCCCATACTGTAGGGTACCTTTTTGTTCTATTGGTAGTGTCCTTTGCTGTACAGAAGCTTTTCAGCTTGATATAGTCCCACTTGTTCATTTTTGCTTTTGTTTCCCTTGCCTGGGGAGTTACGTTCATGAAGAAGTCACTCATGTTTATGTCCAAGAGATTTTTGCCTGTGTTTTTTCTAAGAATTTTATGGTTTCATGACTTACATTCAGGTCTTTAATACATTTCTAATTTACTTTTGTGTATGGTATTAGACAATGATCCAGTTTCATTCTCTTACATGTAGCTGTCCAGTTTTGCCAGCACCAACTGTTGAAGAGGCTGTCATTTCACCATTGTATGTCCATGGCTCCTTTATCATGTATTAATTGGCCATATATGTTTGAGTTAATGTCTGGAGTCTCTATTCTGTTCCGCTGGTCTGTGGGTCTGTTCTTGTGCCAGTACCAAATTGTCTTGATTACTGTGGCTTTGTAGTAGAGCTTGAAGTTGGGGAGCATAATCCCCCCAGCTTTATTCTTCCTTCTCAGGCTATTCTGGTCTTTTGTGGTTCCATATGAATTTTAGAACTATTTGTTACAGTTCATTGAAGAATGCTGTTGGTATTTTGATAGGGATTGCACTGAATCTGCAAATTGCATTAGACAGGATGGCCATTTTGATAATATTAATTCTTCCATTTACTGGTGTCTTTAATTTCTCTCCTGAGTGTCTTGTAGTTTTCAGGGTGTAGGCCTTTCACTTCCTTAGTTAGGTTTGTTTCTAGGTATTTTATTATTTTTGATGCAATTGTGAATTGACTTGTTTCCCTGATTTCTCTTTCTGCTTGTTCATTGTTAGTGTGTAGGAATGCCACAGATTTCTGTGTATTGATTTTGGATTGTGCAGCTTTGCTGAATTGTTATTAGTTTTAGCAGTTTTGGGGTGGATTCTTTAGGGTTTTGTTTGTGCAATATCATGTCACTTGCAAACAGTGACAGTTTAACTTCTTCCTTACCAATCTGGATGCCTTTTATTTCTTTGTGTTGTCTGATTGCCATGGCTAGGACCTCCCATACTATGTTGAATAAAAGTGGGAAGAGTGCCCCACTGTTATTGGTATTTCTATTTTGAGCTTTTTGAGGAACCTCCATATTGCTTTCCACAATGGTTGAACTAATTTACATTCCCACCAGCAGTGTAGGAGGGTTCCACCATTATTCAACATAGTACTGGAGGTCCTAGCCATGGCAGTTAGACAAAACAAAGAAATGCAAGGAATTCAGATTGGTAAAAAAGAAGTCAAACTGTCACTATTTGCAGATGACATGATATGGTACATAAAAAACCCTAAAGACTCCACTCTAAAACTACTAGAACTGATATCAGAATTCAGCAAAGTTGCAGGATACAAAATTAATATACAGATATCTGTGGCTCTCCTATACGTTAACAATGAACTAATAGAAAGAGAAATCAGGAAAACAATTCCATTCACAATTGTATCAAAAAGAATAAATTACCTAGGAATAAACCTAACCAAGGAAGTGAAAGACCTATACCCTGAAAACTACAAGACACTCTCAAGAGAAATTAAAGAGGACACTAACAAATGGAAACTCATCCTATGCTCTTGGCTAGGAAGAATTAATATCGTCAAAATGGCCATCCTGCCCAAAGCAATCTACAGATTCAATGCAATCCCTATCAAATTACCAACAGCATTCTTCAATGAACTGGAACAAATAGTTCAAAATTCATGTGGAACCACCAAAGACCCTGAATAGCCAAAGCAATCCTGAGAAGGAAGAATAAAGTGGGGGGGAATCTCACTCCCCAACTTCCCAGCTCTACTACAAAGCCACAGTAATCAAGACAATTTGGTACTAGCACAAGAACACACCCATAGATAAATGGAACAGATTAGGGAGCCCAGATATAAACCCACACATATACAGCCAACTAATATACAATAAAAGGAGCCATGGATATACAATGGAGAAATGACAGCCTCTTCAACAACTGGTGTTGGCAAAACTGGACAGCTACATGTAAGAGAATGAAACTGGATCATTTTGTCTAACTCCATACACAAAAGTAAACTTTAAATGGATCAAAGACCTGAATGTAAGTCATGAAACTATAAAACTCTTAGAAGAAAACATAGTCAAAAATCTCTTGAATATAAGCATGAGCAACTTCTTCCCCACTGCATCTCCTCAGGCAAGGGAAACAAAAGCAAAAATGAGCAAATGGTACTGCATCAAACTAAGAAGGTTCTGTAAAGCAAAATTTACCATCAGCAGAACAAAAAGGCATCGTACAGAATGGGAGAATATATTCATAAATGACATATCCGATAAAAGGTTAACATCCAAAATACATAAATAACTCACATGCCTCAACACCCGAAAAGCAAATACCCTGATTAAAAAATGGGCAGAGGATCTGAACAGACACTTTCCCAAAGAAGAAATTCAGATGGCCAACAGGCACATGAAAAGATGCTCCACATCACTAATTAATCAGGGAAATGCAAATTAAAACCACATTGAGATACCACCTCACACCAGTTAGGATGGTCAACATGGAAAAGACAATAAACAACAAATGCTGGTGAGGATGCGGAGAAAGGGCAACCCTCTTACACTGCTGGTGGGAATATAAATTAGTTCAACCATTGTGGAAAACAGTATGGAGGTTCCTCAAAAAACTTAAAATAGAAATACCATTTGACCCAGGAATTCCACTCCTAGGATTTACCCAAAGAAAACAAGATCCCAGATTCAAAAAGACATATTCACCCCTATGTTGATTGCAGCACTGTTTATAGTCAAGACATGGAAACAACCTAAGTGTCTATCAGTAGATGAATAGAAAAAATGTGGTACATACACATAATGGAATACTATTCAGCCATAAGAAGAAAACAGATTCTACCATTTATAACAACATGGATGGAGCTAGAGGGTATGCCCAGTGAAATAAGCCAGGTGGAGAAAGACAAGTATGAAATGATTTATCTCATTTGTGGAGTATAACAACAAAGCAAAAACTGAAGGAACAAAACAGCAGCAGGCTCACAGAACCCAAGAAGGAGACTAGCAGTTACCAAAGGGGAAGGTGTTGGGTAGGGAGGGAGAAAGGGATTAAGGGGCATTATGATTAGCACATATAATGTAGGTAGGTCACGGGAAAGACTGTATAGCGCAGAGAAGACAAGTAGTGACTCTAGCATCTTACTACACTGATGGACAATGATGGCAATGGAGTGAGGGGGACTTGATAGTATGGGTGAATGTAGTAACCACAATGTTGCTAATGTGAAACCTTCATAATATTGTATATCAATGATACCTTAATAAAATAAATAAATAAACAAACAAACAAAAAGCTGCTCTCGTTGAAAAGAGTACCCAAAGCCCCAACCCCCAAGGCATGCCCAGGGTTCCTGTTGGGCCCATACAGAAGAGCACTTTTCGATGACATGTCTCCTTGATCCACCATTTCAATAATACTGTGTTTTAAAATGAACTCAGTGTTCTTTATAGAGGGGGTGATGAATAATTACATGTATGAAAAGCAAGAAAATGGACTTTTAATAGTGATTTTATTTAGACTGAGAGACTATAAGTGTTATCTATTTTTCTACTTAATTTTCCCAAATCTTTTCTAATGAATGTAGAGTACATTTATTGTTGGGAATTTTTAAATTGCCAATCATGAAGTATCTAAGGAATTCCCCGAAAATGCCCTAAAGAAACAGACAGTATGACTGTCTGTTTTATTTGACTTGTGTATTTATTTCCTGACTTGTTCTGCAGACATTGAACAAATTCATTTACCTGATACTTACTGAGAGCCTCATAGGCAGGCAGTGTGCAAAGTGCTGGGAATGCAAAGATTGAAAGGGGCAACTCCTGCCCAAAAGTTGCTACAGAGGGAATTGAGCCAAGTGTGAACAGAGACAAACAGTTAATCATCCCCTGCTCACTAGCAAGGACAGAAGCAGGAGTACAATTGCACATTAAAGAGAGAAAGAGAAAAGGCTGTGAATTGGTCTACGGTGAAGCACCGTAGCTGGGTGGGAAGGTAATAGGGTTCAGTTTTTCTGGATTAGCTGTCTGATCAGCAGTAATTTCCTATATTCACAGTATGTTAGCAACTATCCAACGTGGAAGTACACCAAGGGACCAAAAAAAGGTATTAGATAAAGATACTTGCTTTTCCTCTCCCTGTATTCTGCCATTGAATATTGGATGCAGCTGTGAGGTGATGGTCAGGTTTTCAGAGACCCTGTCAGTGTTGCAAATTAGACTGAAAATCAGTAACACCAAAAGGTTAAGTGATTGTCACAGGCAAAAGAATTTTTAATTATAGATGTTCTGTACGGATCAAAAGTTAATTGGAATGATAAGTAATGCAGTGGCCCTCTGGGTTTTTGATACCCTAGAAATGAAGTATGTCGGGTAAGAGGTAGCTGTACTGAGAGGGGCAGGCAGCTCATGGGCAGCCTGCCTCTACCACACACAGTATTCAGAGCCCCTCACCTCTCTCCTGTTTGTCCCCCCAGGAGAAGTGTGCCCAGTACTGGCCCTCCGATGGACTGGTGTCCTATGGAGACATCACAGTGGAGCTGAAGAAGGAGGAGGAATGTGAGAGCTACACCGTCAGAGACCTTCTGGTCACCAACACCAGGGTAAGGTGGCAGGCAGCTGGGGCTCTGTTCGCAGGGAAAGCCAGGGTGATCCTGCCTGTCTGATGCCCCTTTTTCCAAAGGAGAACAAGAGCCGGCAGATCCGGCAGTTCCACTTCCATGGCTGGCCTGAAGTGGGCATCCCCAGTGACGGGAAGGGCATGATCAGCATCATCGCAGCCGTGCAGAAACAGCAGCAGCAGTCGGGGAACCACCCCATCACTGTGCACTGCAGGTATCGCTCGCCCGGCCCAAGAGACAGTGAGAGGGGCAGGCAGGGAGGGGAGCTCAGCAAGCGTGGGTGCGGCAGTCAAGTCTGATGACCAGGATGGGCCAGATGATAAGTGAGGATCTTTGTGTGTGAACTTCACACATTTAAGTGGTAGGGAACCAGTAATGTTAAGATACTGGGCTGGATAGTGTTCAGGATGGTGGGTACAGGAGAGCAGCAGGGGAGACTGACAGTGGTGAGACCAGTTGGGCAACGTGGTGTTGAGGGCTAGGTCTCCTCAAGAAACAGGAAAAGAGCAAAGGGCAACTCTTCTAAAAGCAGTCTGACGAAAAATGAACAGGACAAAGACTAAGTCCATAGTTGTGAAAGAGGAGTCAGGGTGTCGCACAGGTCTGAGGCAGGGTTACAGGTAACACTTGGAGTCCTGGCAGAAGAAGGGTGATATGGGCATTCATTTGGGGGAAAAGGTGACTTGTTTAGGGCATGTTTGAGATTGGACTTTAGGAAAAAATTCCATGAGTTTGTATTGCTTTCATAAAAAGGGAAGGAAGAATATAGTAAAAATTCCTACAATTGATTTTGAAATAGAAAAAATGAACAAAGGAAATTCTAGGAATGTATCCAGTAAATGCTCTTCAAGTGGCCAAAATAAAATAATGAAAAGGATTGAAGTACTCCTTATAATAGTAAAATATTGCAAGTAATCTAAACATATGTTAATAGGGAACTGATTCAATAAGCTATTATATGTGCAATACTACAGAGCTGTAAGATATTGATGAGGGATCTGATATATACTGGGATGGGATGACCCTCTAATGTATTGTTTGGTGAGAAAAGCACTGGGACATGGGAGGAATGTGTATGTTTAAGCTGGGATATGCATGAAACATCTCTGGAAGGACACACAGGGACCTGATGACCTTGGTTGTCTCCCAGGAGAAAATCTGAAAGGCAAATAAATGGAGTAGGAAGGAGACTTTTCATTGTTTTGAACCTTTTTGAAATTCAAACTATGTTAATTTATTACCTATACAAAAATAAATCATTTAAAAAATGTCTGAAAGAGGAAAAAGTAGCATAGTACATCAATGAATATAAACAGACAATAAACATGAAAAGATGTGAAACCTTACTAGTCATCTTTCAAGAAATGAGAATGAAAATAATGAAACATGGCTTTTGGTCCATTGGATTGGCAAAATTAAAAGGATTCCTTGGCATATCTAAAGAAACTCCTCGCCCATACCATTTCATCTCCCATGCTCCTCTGCCTTGGTCACCCTCCCTTGCTAAACTCCAGATTCTCCAGCTACCACGCACCTGCTGCGCACAGCTGAATGTGGCTGAAGGAAAGCGACGTGTTACATTTTGCATTTCTGACCACTGGCCTCATGGTTGCCCTTGTGCTGCCCTTCTGCATTGCCCTCTCTTCTGGACCAGGGCCAGGCAAACCAGGCCCACACCTGGGTTTATGTGCAACTACAAGCTAAGAACTGTTTCTATATTTTTTAATGAAGTTTCTAAAATCAAAAGAGGAAGAATATTTCATGGCATGAAAATTACATGAAATTCAGATGTCACTGTCCTTGCAGAATGTTTTACTGGGGCCGTGACTGCTCTAGGCCCTAGTGCAGAGCTAGCGCTCTCTGTAACTCAACTGCTGCCCAGCACATAAGAAGTCACAATTGTGCGTTTATAATTTGATTTTGTCTCTTTCCAGCAAAACCTAAGGTATTTGCTATCTGACCCTTTGCAGAAAAGCTTGCCACCCTTTGTCCTAGATGATTATTTCATACCTTCTCTCAAACTTCCAACACCTCTCCCATCCTTATATTTAAGAGACAAGCATGTTTTCTATGTGACTAAAGAAAGAGAAGGAATCAGAGCGAACTTCCACACATGTGCTCCCTCCACAACTGCTCCCGTCTGCCTGCATTGGTGCCGTGGACTCTGTATCCCTCCTTCCTGTTCAGTGGATGAGTTGTCTGAGCTCTCTCGGAAGCCAGCTACATTAACAGTCTATAGCTGTGTAATTATACTACCTCAAACTTAGCATCTTAAAACAACACACATTTACTTCACAGTCCCTGTGGTCAGGAGTCTTGGGCATGTCTTAGCTGAGTCCTGTGCTTCAGGGTCTCACAAGACTGCCATCAAGGTGTTGGCCAGGGCTGTGGTCCCATCTGAGGTTCTGCCGGGGAAGGAGACACTTCCAGGCTCACGTGGTTGTTCGTAACATTGAGTTCCTTGTAGGTAGCTATGCTGAGGATCGGTCTCTGTTGTTTGAATTCCCTTGCCATGTGGACCTTCCCAGTGTGGTTGCCTGATTCTTCTAAGCCCTCAAGGAGGGTGTCTCCTTGCAAGATAAGCATTGCATTATGATCTCATGTAACATAATCACATACATGTAATTGTATATGTCCTATCACCGTTGGCTCTGTTGTGTTAGATAGAAGCACATCATAGGTCCTGCCCACACTCGAGGGGAGGGTATCACTCAGAGCCGTGAACACCAGGAGGCAGGGGGTGGGGGCCATGCTAAAGCCTGTCTGCCACACCCACCCTTCATTTGGATACCAGTTCCATCCCCTTTTGTCTCTTCAGGGACTTAACCTCACTATCCTAAATCATCAGGCTTTCCTCTGAATAACTATCTTCTTCATACAAATATGGTATAATCTTAATATTTTAAAAAAACTCTTGCCTGTTAATGTTAAAAAAAAAAACAACTCTTGCTTCCAATTCCCCTCCAGCTACCCCTCTATTTCTGTTTTCCTTAATAGTAAAGCTTCTCTTTATTTAATAGTAAATACTTCATCAAAAGATGTGTCCTTACTAACACTCCTGTTCCACTCCTCCCACTCTTTCTAAACGCATTTCAGTTAACACTGCCTGCACACACCATTGCAGCTGCCCCACAGAGGGCTACCTATGATTGTCACATGGCCTAGTCCAGTGTCACTTCTCAGTCTCTTATCCTTGACCTTCATCAGCATTACACACAATCGATCACTCACTTCTTTGTGGAATACTTTCAGCATCGTTTCTCTCCTGGTTTTTGTCCTCATCGTTGTTCCTTTATCTCCTTTGCTGAATCCTGCCCATCTGTGGTCCTTGGACCTCTTCTCTGTCAGCTAATAGTTACTTCCCGAGGTTAGCCCATCCAGTCCTCCAGCTTCAGTATCAATTCCCAAATATTCATCACGAGTTCACTCTTGCTCCTAAATTCCAGATTTACATATCTCATTACCTACTGAGCATTTCCATATGTGCGTCTTCACTTTAAAGGGTTCAAATCAGGATTCCTGGTCTTTGTTTCCAAGCCTGCTGTTCCCACAACTTTCTCTTTTCAGTCACCCATGTGACTCAGGTGAAAAGCCTTGGAGCCATCCTGTTCTCTTTCTTTCTCACATGTACATCCAATGCTCTACATTGCTCTACATGCAAAATAAGTTCTGAATCCAGTGTTTCTCACTCCCTCCACCAGAGCCCCTCATTCCAAGTTACCATCTCCTCTCCCCAGTAATTATACTGGCCTCACTGTCTCCCTGTTCCCATCCTTGCCGCCTTTTCTCAACACAGCTGCCTGAGAGGTCCTTTTAAAACTTTAGTCAGACCACATCACTCCTCAACTTAGAATCCTAACAGCAGCTCACAAGGCCCAACATGATCTGAGCGCTCTGACCTCACTCCCACCATTTAACTTCCTTCCATCCATCAGATCCAGCTATACAGCTTAGCATCTATAGGAGTGTGTCTACACTCCTGCCTTGTGCCTGAGATGCTCATCTCCCAGCCAGCCACTGGGCTTTCCCCACCTTCTTCCGGTCTCTGCTCACATAGCACCCAGTTAGAGAGCCCCCTGAACACCCTATTCACAACAGCAGCTCTCTCAACTCTACCTAGCACTCCTGTTCCTCTTTTTCCTTCCCATACTGCATCTTACCTGGGTTACTGCTGCCCACCACAGTTCCTGCCACCAGCAGGCACTCACTAAGGGTCTGGTGGATCAACTGATGGCATTGAACAGAGTGCATAATGTCATGGTCAGTCTGGATTCCTGGGACTTGGGAAGAAAATGATAGGCATGGAAAAGAATCAGCACATGCACACCAGCATAGAGGGCAGGGTTTGTCAGGAAAAGGAAAGAGAGGACTACAGTTCTAATGTGAGTGAGCAGCTGGTTAGGACAAGCAGGCAAGTTTTTAGATAGACAGTGAAGACTCAGTGCTGGGTGAGGGTGGTGAGTGTGAGGCTCTTCTGTCCCATGGGCAAGTTCCCTAGCAGGCAGAGTGGCTGTGCAGGGCAGCAGGGGCTCAGTTGCCTCCAGGGCTGTGTGAGTGTGGGACTTAAGTGGACAGGAGCAGGTGGGCCTCCTGTCCCCACCCCTGCAGCTCCATCAGATGACAGACACTCTCAGGAGCCTCTGTCTACACATTGCCACTATCAGTTGCCTCATCAGTGCAGAGGGATGTAGCGAGTGTGCTTAAGTGTGTCTGCTCTTTTACAGCGCAGGGGCAGGACGGACGGGGACCTTCTGTGCCCTAAGCACAGTCCTGGAACGGGTGAAAGCAGAGGGCATTTTGGATGTCTTCCAGACCGTTAAAAGCCTGCGGCTACAGAGGCCACACATGGTCCAGACACTGGTAAGCTGCCCCATGTATTTGTCCATACCACCACACCGTCTGCAGCCCTTATATGTCAGGGTCAGCTCAGGGGGAATCCTTCAGGGGACCCATCTGGTTGTCCAAAGACTGTAACCACAGACCCTTCTTCCCCCAAGGTGCCCCACACACAACAAGCCTTGGGAGGCAGTGAGAGCATTGGAGGGGTGTACTCTTGTCACCAGTGAGATGCAAATGGCTTTTGTGAAGGCTAGAAGAGGGTATCTTGCTACCCCGTGGGGCTTGTCTCTGCTTCTCCATGGGTCCTGGGGTGGGGAGACTCAGGAATGTCTCCTCTCTTCTGCTTATACTCCCTGTTACTGTAGGAGGTCTGACTCCTGACAGTCTGAATAAGCAGTAACCACCAAGTACGGGAACAGACATCCAAAAGGGTCCCCAGAAAGCTGCAACTGTCTGAAGGGAAAAGAAAAGTAAATTTTAAGAGTTTGCAAGTTGATGGGGCTTTGAGAACCAAGGTACCTCCAGCCTGGAAGACATGGTGAGGTGTGGGCCACACAAAGCCACCTGCAGGCCTAGGACTGTCATCCTCCTCTCTAGTCGCCTCTATCTCTACAAGATAGCGGCACTCAGCCCAGAGGGGCAATGCTGTCAGAACTCTGGCAGGCAGATCAGGGCTCAGATGGGGGTCCAAAAACATTCATGTCCTCTCAGTTTTCCATTTCTAGAAAAATGGGTCTGTTAGGAGCTGCAGGCATGGCGTTCTCTTCAGTGACCCTGGCTTTCTCCTCCTTTCACTCTTTAGGAACAGTATGAGTTCTGCTACAAGGTGGTGCAGGAATATATTGACGCATTCTCAGATTATGCCAACTTCAAGTAAGAGGCGATGAGATCCCTTTGGACAGGAAAATTGCCTTTAATATTTTGTAATATTCCGTTTTGTTAATATACCCAAAACTGTGTATATATCTTATAACTGTTTTAGAAATTGGTACATAGGCTTCTATTACCTAATAGGTGGAGATTTTATATGTAAATGTGTTAGCACTGATAATCCATTTTCCAATGTTCAATTGGGGAATTAAATAGTGTGATGTTTGGATTGATAACCGTGAAATCCTCTGCCTGGATATTGGGCTGTACTGTGCTTTGGTTTATACATCTTTTCCTAAAAGAAGAAACACAAAACCCATTCCAGGAAGTTCAGCATCAACTAAGAAAAAAGCACAAAGGCCTCGGAGCTCTTGAAGAAATGGGTTGTCCCAAAACTTCCCACCTGTCAGGCTACTTTTCCCTCCCTGTTCTGTAAATAACCCCTCCCATCTCCACCCTGCCCCCTTCTCCTACCACCCACATTCCCCTGTGGGGAGTAAAGGGACTAGAGCGCCATCTGGCACCACACTTGGGATTATCAGGTAATAAAAGCTTGGACTCCCTGAGGAAAAGTCTCTCCCTTTGTCTGCGGTGGGGCAGCCATCCCAGGGCTAAGGCTCTCCTAGGCCTCCCCTGGCCCTGCTGTTAGTATTCTGTCTCTACTGGCCAGAGACCACAGACCTCCCAACAACTCCTTTCCTGCAAACACAGCCCCTCCAGCCCTTGGCTGGTTGCCAGGACCCGCCTTTTGCTCCCAGCACATCTTTGGTCAGTGTCCCAACAGCCTTCCTGTCTGAGGAGATGGCCAGGTTCTTTGCTGCTCCCCGAATTCAGGGACATGGAGGAGAAAGGAGGTGGCAAGCTTGCCAGCTAAGGCCAGTCTGACCCATCTGGTGCTTTGCTACAAAACTATCTGGATTGTGTCATTCTTTATATCCGCATTCACTGTGTTAAATAGCTTCCTTTTCCTTTCACATCTGTCCTCATATCCAGGACTCATGAGAAGTGCCTCAGATTCAGAGGTGAGGATGGTGGGAGTCTTAGATACCAACTTGATTTCTAGTCTGACATATTAGACAAGTGTCTAACTTTAATGTCTTAGATAAGGTAGATGTTCATTTATTTCTCATGTAAGTCTTCCCAGTCCAGAGACCCAGTATCCTCCTATCTTGTGGTTCCAGTGTCCTTTAGGATGTTACTCTTGGTCTCATAGTTGAAGCCAGATCACTGTCTTTTCTCATGGAGAAACAAAAAGAGCATGGAGAGCAAGCAACTTCATTTTTAAGGACATGAAGCAAAAGTTGCACTTTTCATTTTCACTTACATCTCCTTGGCTAAAGCCTAGTTATAAGGCTACCCGTAGCTACAAAGGGTTCTAGGTAATGTAGTCTTTGGTGGGAGGCACAGCTGGAGGGGGGGTCTGTCCACTGTCTCCTGTTCTCATGAGCAGCTCATCATGAGAACAAGAAAGTAAACTGGTGGCTGTGGCTGTCAGTGCAGGGTTGAGAGAGGCTTGTGGCCCATGGGGCCTTCCTAGAGGAGCAGGGATAGGCCCTGGGCTCCTCAGGCATGAGAGTGACACCCCAGCCTGGGCCATGGAGGCACACTCAGAAGTCTCTGGTGCTTTGCTTCTTGGAGGAGGTGGACTTGAACTGGACCCAAGCAATGCTGGAAGTGTAGGTGAATGCAAGGAGGAAAGGCCACTTGGAGCCACACTACACAGGGCCTTGAAGGCCGGGCAACCAGGCACAGTGGCTCCAAGGTGAGAGCCAAGTTCTGCACCACATATTCAGGATGTCTGTGGAGGTGGGGGTGCCACAACCACCTCTGGAAGCTGGCAAGAGGTGAGAATAAGAGGTAACTTGGTCCTTTGTAGGAACTGGAAACTCCAAAGGGCAATACATTCAAAATTCAGTAGTTTTTAAAAGAAGCAGGGATAAATTAAGCAAAGACAGAATCTGGAAGGTTGATGATGAGGGGTGCCAAGTTTGGGAAGGAGACCCTGGCACCTTACAGCCTACCTTTTGGTGCCTCTGTGTGACCATGTCCAGGCAGATGGAGGAGGGCAGGCCTTGGATCAGCAAGCTTCATAGCGAATGTGCGGGAGAGCCCATCACAGGTCCTGTGCTGCCTCCGCACTGCCCAGCCAGCTACCCACCTCCTGGTGTCAGAGCTCATATTGAGCAGCTGCACACCAATGTGGCCTGGCAGCTTTCTGCTGGGGTCCAGGCTGATTTGGTCAGTGGCTGGGCCAGTAATGAATATCACATTGCCAAACAGACGTCTTCAAGGGTCACATGGTTCAAGAGACAAATCTGACAGGAACTAGTCTAGGCTAAAAGAGAAGTATGTTGGGGCTCACATGGCACGATTGTGTGGGCAAGGCAGGGGTGACTGCCTCATTCAGTGCCCACCCCTCTACCAGCCAGCCGTGTCCATGGGGTTAGAGCAGGGGCAAGGATTTCTTAGAAGGGGAAAAGTGGTGTCAGCAGCCACCGCACACCCCTATCTCTGGGGCCTATGCCCTCTCAAGAGACCTCACTTCATGACAGCGGCTCCCTCTAGGTTTTCTGTTTGATTCATCACACACACACACATATACACACACTGCCAAGCAAGTTTTTTCATCAAAAAAAAATTTCCCCCAGGCCTAAGTTCTTCCCCCTTTTATGGCAGATATTTTGAAAAGGTCTGTACTTACTCTCCCCTCTCCCCCACTTCGTTCCCCCACATTCCTTTTGTACATGTACTCTCACCTCCATGCTGAGCCCCAGGCATCCACTGTCTGTCCACTAGCTGCCCCCTTGATGTTAGTGACTCCCTTCTGACTTTAGTCCTCACTCTGAGCTGCTCCTCCACAATCTCCTTTCTCCATCCTCAGACGCAGGTGTTCCTGCAGTCTGTACGTTGTGGACCATCATCCCTTCTCCAGTCCCGAGCCCCCATCATGTCTGCTACCTAGTGACTCCACCAGGGTGGCCCAGACTTGTTCCACACCCCCAGTGCCTAGGAGCTCACCCAGTCTCTACAGAGCCCTCCAGCATTCTCTGCTGGCCTTCCCTTCTCCCCCACCCAACCCCACCACACTCTGGCCACAGGCCAGTTAGCAGCCCTCAGCTTAATCCTCCGTTTTGTTCCTTGCACTGGAGCACCCACTGCTGCTGTGTTTCCACAACTCTAAACCACCCAGTCCAGGGTTTGCCTCTCTGTGCTCAGCACCACGTGAGCACTCAGCTCTAAAGCTCTGCTTTCCCAACGGACTACAGGCCGCTCCCAGACTGGAAGAATATATCCTCAAGGCCGAACTTAAAGGACAAATGGCTTTCTGTGCCCTGAGAGAGAGAGAAGGATGAATTCCAGAGTTCGTAGTCTGAAAGAGGACAGCAAGTAGTGCTGAAAAGCTAAGACTGTTGCCAGAAAGAAAGGGAGTCAGAACTTCCTCTGAAAAACTTAGTTTTTCTGGTTTGGATTTTTTTTGCGGAAAAACCCAAGCAAATCACAGAAAAAATAAAGGCATCCCGTTCTTCTTCTAAAATAAACACAAAGGACTTCAAATAAAACACTTTGTAAACCCCAAACTAGCACTCTGCTTGTTTACTGAACTCAAAGAATCATTTTCACTAAACCACAAAGCAAATGTTTTCTTAAAAATGCTTTGGTTAGTCAGTGTATATAGGAACAAAGTCTGCGTTTTCCAAAACAATTTAACTGAACATACAGTCCACACACTTGTTTCAGGTCCCTACTGAATAAGTCAGTTTGGAGATTCAGCTGTCTGGGCAGCTGAAGTCCAAGTGCCCATGACCAACTCTGGTACCTGTCATGCCATCCCCTCCCCCATCTTTGCCACAGGATATGATGCACCTGCTCTCCCAGCAACTGGCCACCCTGATGCCAGTCTGACCCTTACTCTCCCATTTGCTGTTCAGGCCAAGTACAGGATTGGCTATTAACCTTGTCAACAGGCCTCACCCCCTGGAGGCTGAATGCTGGCGGTAGAAACCAGAGTGACGCAGACTGAGGCGGGCATGTTGTAAGTGTCCCAGGGCAGCTATGCCTGAATTTGAATAGTCCTGGGTTGAGCAGATGGGGAGGGGTTAGAACTCTGAGAGGCAAAAATTACTCCTACCCCATGCTGGTAGCCCCACAAATGCCCCCTTAGCTGGGTGCCCTCCTCTCGTGGCCCTGCTTGGAGGACAGAGTCCACCAGTAGGTAGATACACCCCAGCCAAAGCTACCTGCACCTGGAGGGGCCCAGCCCTGGAGACTCACTGTGTGGGTGAGGGCCATTCTGCCCAACTCATCTTACAGGTGGGCAAAACAAGCTCTGGGGAAGAGCAGTCATAGCCTCCCCCAGACCTCCTAGACAAGCTGCTGGGCTCCCTGCTTCCACGTTGCCACTTTTCTACTAAGGAGAGCCTTGGATGGAACTTGTGGAGTCCCCAGCTATTGCCCCTTTCCTGACCACAACTGCCTTTTCGGGTCAGGGGAGGCTGTGAAGGCTTTCTAGGCCTAAGAGTGGAAGCCTGAGGCTGCAGCCTGGCAAGTGGGGAGATGACTCTTCAGGGCACCAGCCAGGCTGGTGCAGGAGTCCTAAGACTTCATATCCTTGGAAAGATGGGAATGATGTCTGACGATCTCAGGGCCAACAGCTGAAAATACACAGGGAAGGGAAGGGAAGGGGTTTGGGTACAAGCTGCTGCCCCTGCCTTCTTTGAGATGTCACTGGAGTCTGTGGGCACAGAGCAGGGGGTGGAACTGCCTGATCAATAAATCCCAGGGCTTGACTCGGGTTCCACTGCTGCCTGGAGGTACCACTTCAAGGAGTCAGCTTGTCCACAGCTCTCCCTTAGTAAATAAGGAGACTGCCCTCCCCAGACTGGAGCTCCTGGTTGGAGCTTTAACCTGGGTGCTTGGCACCCTGCTCTACTTTTTCCTCCCAAGTCCCTCCAGCCATGAACTGTGTTGAGAAAAGCTCCCTTACCCTCTTCTCTCTCCAACACTATTTTGTGTCTGCTGCCCTCTTATGGGAGGGACAAGGGGTGCACTTGCCCCCATCACGCCACACATTCATTTCACATCCCCAACTGCCATGGAAGAAAGATAGCAAACCACAGAGAAAAGGAGCAGAGGACCTGTCACTCTGGGCCCCCAGCACTGGGTTCCCAAAATGCCCCCACCTTGCTTTCTGTCATATGGAGAATTCACAAAGTCTTTGTTCCCCTTTCCAACCTGACCCACTTCTGGAAACCCTGAAGGAAGAAGGGGTAGGCCTCAGTTGGGAGGGCCCACAGCTGGCAAGAGGTGTCAGGGAGAAGGCTAGTTGCCCGAAGTCCTCAGGATCTAGACCCCTGTAGTCGTGAAATCAGTGACAGAAGAGGGAAGGGCATTAAGAGACACCAAAGCTACCCTTCAAGTGCCAGTTGTCCAAGGGGACCCTGGAGGAAGAGGAAGGCAGTATGGATGGAAGTGTCAAGACTCTGAGAGCTGTCTGTGGGAGCAAACTGCCATGGCCAGCTCCAGGCTGGGCCTCCCACTGCTGCTGACTGCCCTCCTCGGACCTTCAGAGGCTCAGCACTGGTCTCACGACTGGTACCCCAGAGGAAAGGTAGCCTGCAGCTCATCCCAGCATCCCTAGCATGCCCTAAGACCCCCAGATGGGTGAAGGGGCTCCCCAGACTGAACGGTAGGAAGGTGCTGAGGGAAGCTCCACCTACCTTGAGCTTGAGAGCGTGGCAGGTGGGCAGGGTGGGTTGCAGCCTCTGCTTCCCTCTGAGGAAGGGTCCTGAGCCAGCCCAGATTATCCATAGCCTCCCAAGCGATGCCCTGGCTCCCCCTGCGGACGCTGTGCACTGGGCAGGCAGGACCACAGGCCAGTGACTCCTCAGCAGGAAGCAACCCTTGGTGAGGAAGCAAGCCTCAGCCGGTGGCTCCCCACACTGGCCACCAGGGCCCATACTGGTTGAGGACAAGGGAGCTATGTGGGCCAAAGAGGGGGGGTTATGTGCCAGTGCTGAACACAGGGCTCCATCTGCTGTCCTTCCTATTTCTCAGAATTCTGGACAATTTGTGAAAAGATTTATGTTATAGTAAAAGATTATTAGTCACTAATGGAGTAGGAGATTACTGCACTAGTGGGGTCCCCCAGCGAGGCCACTGTGTCTCAAGGTAGGCAGGCCCCTGGCCAGTGGAAAGAGGCCACCTACGAAGAGGTAGGTATGATATTTCCTACGCAGAACCAAGTGGTCACTAACGTGCCCTAGGAATGATCAGGGATTGCTGAGGTCCCTAAGGCCATAGAAGACAGCAGTGCGGAGATGGACTGTTAGTATTTTGCAAATTGTATTTTAAAGTGTACCAGGAAACACGGTAACTAAACGACAAAGTGGTAAATCTGTATGGCAGAATTTTATCACCTAACAAATTGTTGTGTGCTCACGTCTTACATATCAGATTTGTTTAGGGTGGGCCCACCGCAAGCCCTGGGAGCTGGGTCGGCTAGGCGAGGTCGGGAGTGGGTGGGCAAGGCCGCAATTCGGCGACCAGGTGACCAGACCGTCCGCTGGAATGACCGCCCCTTCTCCCCGTAGACCGGCCCAGAGCGCCGCTCCCTGCCGCCCTCCAATAAAGGTGTGAGGTTCCCGAAATTGTTGCCTCGAGTTCTCTCCTTCGGTCCTCCTCCCACCCCCACCTTCTCTGCGTGGGGGCAGAGGGGATGCGGGCCCGCCCTGCTGGTGGGAGGGGCACGGCGGGCACCGGGCCCCACAGGAAGGGCGCAGCCCGCGCCGCCAGAGCGGGCTCCAGAGGGTGGGGTTTGAAGCCCACGGACTACACGTCCCGTGGTGACCCGCGGCCACATCCGGGCTCCCGTGAAGCCCTGCGGCGCACCGGAAGCGGGCGGCGTGGGTCATGCTGTGCGTGCTGAGTGCCGCGCGCGCGCGAGCTCTGTGCGGATCCCGGGCCTCGTTGCTGCTGCTTGTGCGCGGCCGCAAGACCCGTTATGATCCGCCAGCCAAGTCCAAGGTCGGGCGCGTGGCGACCCCGCCCGCGGTGGATCCTGCGGAGCTATTCGTGGTGACGGAGCGTTACCGTCACTACCGCCAGACGGTGCGCGCCCTCAGGTGTGTGTGACGTTAAGGGAGGCGGCTGTCGGGTGGTGTGTATTGGGGCGGGCGGGCCGGCGTAGATGGTTCCGACTTTGGGCGCGTCACCACCCAGGCTGGAGTTCGTGTCCGAGGTGCGGATGAAGGTGCACGACGCCCGGTCCGGGGTCCAGGCAGAGCGCAAGGCCCAGGAAGACGCCGCCGAGCACCGCAGGCTGATGGCCTGGAACCGGGAGGAGAACCAGCGGCTGCACGAACTGAGGTGAGTGGGGCGGGAGGCAGGGCGGGGCCACCTGGCCGGCCCGGGAGAGACCCAGTCACGCTCAGTCTCGGCCTCTCGCCCTTCCCAGGATAGAGAGGCTGCGGCAGGAGGCGCGGGAGCAGGAGCAGCGGCAGGCCGAGGAAAAGGCCCGTCAGGCCCTAGAAGCGCAGGCCTGGGCGCAGCTCAAGGAGCAGGAAATGCTGCAGCTGCAGGTGGGCACTTCTCCAGAGGGTGGGCCTGAGGCCGGACTCTCTGCCTGTGTGGCAGTCGGAGTCCCGGGCGCAGCGAGGTGAGGCAGTGGGTACTTGAAGACAGAGCAGCCTTGAGTCTTGAGAGGCAGTTAGATGAGGGTTAAGGAAAGGTGTGCTGGGAGAGTGCTTATCAGGTGCAAAGACCCTGAGGTGAGAGTTGACATTGAAAAGTTCAAGAGGCTAGCGGTGGCAAGCCGGTGTTTGCTGTGGGACCCAAGCGTTCCACTGGGAGTTTGTATTTTGCCTTACTGTTGTAAACCCTTACACTGAGGGGTTAAATATCCTGGGCTAGCCCGGCAGGTGTGAGACTTAAAGCAGGGAGACCAGTCAGAAGTGATCCAGGGTGAATAGATGAGGCTAAGTAATAGAGGGAGAAGGACGATTTTGAGAGAAATTAAGAGGGTCCCAGGCATCATTGAGGGTCTGATACCACCCAGGGGAACACAAGATTGTTATCGCTGGTGTGCTTGGGGTTCTGACAGAGGTGTCCAGCAGATGATTAAGAGAAGTGTGGCAAGGCTGCGTGATAATCCTTTAACTGGAAGGTCAGTGGGCATTCAGAGGACTTGGACTCCACGCATCCTTCCCAGGGGAGAACTGGAGCCTCTCAGGTATGTGCTGGGCACTTTTTCAGCTGCACTTCTCTCTCCCAATAGGAGGAGGCAAAACATTTCATCACCCGAGAGAACCTGGATGCACGGGTAGAAGCAGCTTTGGACTCCCCGAAGAGCTACAACTGGGCCGTCACTAAAGAGGGCCTGGTGGTCAGGCCACAGCCCAAGGACTCTTAAAGGCCCAGAGTGACAGTGCCCACCCAGGGACCATGTGGAAATGGGAGGAGGAGGGCTGGGCCTGAGCCAGAGTAAAGCAGTTGGTGTTTCTTTTGGGGAAGCTCACCTTTTCCAGCATGACCCTCGTGTCCTGGCCTCTGCACCCACCACTTGTTCAGAAACTGGTATACA